GCCCTCAGTAGTTCGTTATTGAGCCTTAGTGAACAAACAGCTTTATAAAAGTAAAATAGCAGAAAGATACAAAAAGAGTATGGCATTTCTGCAAGCTTACCAAAACATGTCCATCTAAATATTCTGGCAGACTGGGCATGGACCGCGTTGATCTGAGAGGGAGCCAAGCAGCCCATAGCTACAGAGACCCTAAGCTCAGATGGAACAATCTGTTGACAGCTATTAATCCTCTACTTCATAAATCTGGCCTTTATAGCAGAGTAACAAGATGAAGCCCACTAATGACAACGTTAAGAAGTCCTATTTGCAGTTTCTCACAAACACGTGGTTCTATTCTGTTCAGATGAAAATAAAACCGAGTTGAAGGGATGAAGGGGTTAAATACAGAAATCCTGGTAGAAAAACTGTCTCAGACTAAGATGGACGTAGATTTTGCAGTAAAAAAGCAAACCTAAACATACAGACTGATTTACAAGGAAATAGTTTAGCTCAAAGGCCATTAATGCATTAAATTGGCCCAGAAACTACAGACCTAAATCTAATATATGTAGAATCTTAGCTTTTGATCTAATCTGACTGCAATGGAATGACAGAAAATTACATTTTCTCAAAAGGTGGAGACTTTTATGTACCGTAATCACTAAAGTGGATCTGATTTTATTTTCTTCATCCTCTCAATTTTTCCCTGCTGTGTGTTGATCTATCCAATAAAATCCAAATAAAATACACTAAAGTCTGTGGCTATGTTGTGAAAAACTGAAGACGTACGATTGTATTTTTTTGTCCCCATCTCTCAGAGAGATAGATCCCCCTGCTGTGTTCTCATCACCACTTCATTTGTACCTATTTGCCAGGGATTCTACAATCTCTCTAACAACTGGGACTTGATGTAGAGCAGGAGGAAGACATGATGCCTAAAACATGTCCTTTCTTATCTTATCCAAACCTGGGGTTGTCATTTTTGACGCTGCTTGCTTCACCACTAGTATCGCTTTTCTGAAGTTATTAATCAAAAAAGACTTTATGAACTGTTTGTGTCATGATATTGTCACTGATGGCTGGCTTAATTGCCTACTTCTTATTAAACTGCTTCTTCCCAGCCATCAGTGCCAGATTTTTCTCAAGCCTTGTGTGAGAATTCTCTAGCATAGCCAGTTGTGTTTCTGATTACCTGATCCTGACTAGTTTCTGCCTCTGAACTCCTGAGTTTTGCCTGCCCCTGTCTGCTCTGTTTGCCTGGCCTGTCTTCAGACTCCTGTTGGAATCTTCTGTGGACTGAACCTGGATCTGCTTCACCCTGTGGATTGCCTTGCCTTCCTTCATCTGCTTGGATCTGACCTGTCAGTTCTGCAGCCTTCTGCAGCTTGTCAGCCGACCGGCTGGAATCATCCTCGTTCTCCGGGCACGGAATGAAATGTCAAACCAGGTTAGTGACTGACATGTTCATAATCATCCTCTGTCAGATTATTGTGGTCACTAACCTGTGTTTCTCTCCTATAGACGTTCCCGCTTTAGACGCACAAGCCACTGATACAGCAGATCCACAGCCCGTCATTTAAATACACGCTTTGTAAGTTATTCCACTGTCTATCTTGCCTGAGTTCTGGGTTCCCATGCTCTTAGTCATTGCAGTTTGGGATTAGAGCATTGATTAATATGATTGCAGGTCAATCAGATTATTCTAATTAATCAGACAAGTGTGGAAGTCACAGACAGCCAATTACAATAACTGCAAAATGGTCTCAGTATTCCTTAATACACTACATCAAATGGCTGTTTTACTGTTGTTATGACCCCACCAAGGTAAAAACATCCCCCGCAAGAACATCTTCTGAAAGCAGCACTGACTCATAGAGCAAAATGCCAAGACAAAGGTTATCAGGGCTCTATGTTACAGTCACAGTGAGAGAAATCTAGGAGATGCTGCCTTCCTTGGAACATGAGCTCCAACATCATGCCATCCATTGCCCTGCAAGACCTAAAACTGTCACTACACAGCAAAAAGTTATCTTTTATTCTATTTTTTGTCCTCTCAATATGTACAAAATTGATTAGTTTGAGCATCAGAGTCAGAAGACTTTATAGGTTGAGTGAGAATACATATTTTAAATCGATTGATTGATTCCTTTTGCACACAGCTGGGTCCTTTCCCCAACTTCACAATTTTTCCTACTGCCCTTCAGCTGACAAAGTCCTTGTTGAAGACTCATAACTCTGCCTAGTGGCGCACAAGGGAGAATAAGACATTCAAACCCGTCATTCACGGTCTCCCTGAGTTTCTGACAAAGTCGTCTTGACTAATGCACTGCAGGAGCTCCCGAGTCTCTGAGCGCTCTGATCTTGGGAGCACAAATTGCTGGAAAGATGTGATGGAGCGATACGGTACACAAAAGGGAAAAGCTACTAGGCACAGACCAGCAGGAAAGGGTGTATACATTACAGCTCCCTCTGAGTGCTCTCCATCACTGGATTCATAACAACAGTGCTTCATTACTGCTGTGAGTAAATAATAATGCCAGAACTGGCCCTAACATGAGATGGGCTGAAATGAGAGGGCAATCAGGCTGCTTTTAAAGCCACCCTCTGCCTGCTGACAGCTACATGACCAGGCTACAGTTCCATAATAATCTCTTTGTCATGTCATCCTTTCAGATTGGAGTGATTGCATATTCACTGTGACAGCAAAGCATATTTTCTACTAAAAATACACCCAGAAGGTCATGCTGCTCGGAGGCAGGAATATGTGTGATGTTGCTGTTCTTCCTTTCTGGTATTCAGAGATAATCAATTTACGGGCGTAATCCAGGAGCGATTATAAAGGGATTGGCTGTAACCATGATAAAAAAAAAATGGTTTTACATCAACTTTTAAAGCTATATTTAAAGCATTGATTAATGTGATTTTGGCATAGAAGTAGTAGTAAACTTTTATGTCTGTTCTTTAAAAGGTATGACATTTATAGGAAGTATACACTTCCTCAAAGGTATTCTTAACTTTTTTGACAAACTGTAAACTCAAATTCTAAAAGTTTTCTATCAACATTTACTTCCCATTCTTTCGTATATGGGTGGATTTATGGTGTGCATGACTGCTAGTCTTCCTGACAACAGCTTCAACCCTTTAAAGGCACACTATGCAACATTTTTCAGTTAATTAATGTGTTCCATAACGTTTTGGATGATTAAATGAGTCATTTCAGGTTGAACAAATGTATTCTCGGCCGCCCTGGTGGTCTGTGGGGGAAATACCGCACTTGCAATTGCAGGAGCACCGACCCGCACCCACAGGCTCAGAAGTCTTGCGAGAGTCGGTCTTGCTTTACGGCGAGAACTGCTACACCCCCCAGTTAAAAGCATGCTCGTTGCTAGCACAGTGGCGATCTTTGTGCAGTGCTGCTTTCACACCGGACGCAGCAAAAGCAGCAAAATCACGTCAGCTGCTTCATTTTTACTGCTTGTACCAGTTAGTTTTGACGCGCGGCTGAAGCAGCTTTGCTGCTCTGGCTGCGCGGTGCAAAAGTGTGTCTGACGCGCGTTGGGCGGAGCTTCACTATCCTTTCTCTGCCTTGCAGCTATATTTGCTGTGATCAGTGGGAATAAAGTAGTTTTAATATGTTTTTTAAGTGAGAAAATACACCTGAAAACGTAATCAGTGCAGTCAGTTCATTCAGATTATCATCCTGCCTTACAATATTTTTTCTGTCGGAGCCGCTCAGACCCCCACATACCAGCGGTGCGCCGACAGTAGGAATCCCTTCATCAGCAGCCTCTGGCCGGGTCGCCTCCTCGCGGTTCACCGCGGCGGCTGGTAGGTGTTTTTCATCTAAATAATCCAAACTGCAGGCAGCAGGATAATAAAAGCGAACATATTCTGCTGGCAGATTTCTGCATTTTAAGTTAATTTAGGCGTCAATAAACTGTTTAAGAGGAGTGATCATAGTGCTCTGATCATTAGCGCTGTGTCTCTCTCCCAGCCAGCTCCCAGATCAGCTTCTCTGATTGGTTGACGCGGCGCGTCGAGCAGCAAAAATTTAATTTTTCCATCTCGAGCAGCAGCGCGTTTGCAGCGCGTCACGTGCGTCAGATGCTTAGTCATTCGTTGCGTTCGCCTGTCTGCTAAGCTCAAAACAACGGCGCCTGGCTTGATGGAGAAACCAGGAGAACAGCTGTGCATATTTACGACAGTGCACTTTTACTTTCGCCCTCTGGGGGGAGCCTCGCTGGAAAATCAACACCGGTTGCATAGTGTACCTTTAAACAGTGGATATCAGCAGCTCCTCCAGACTCTCTATAGCTGTTATGAATCTATGTGAGATGCAGAAAAAGCTTGGGATGTTATTTATAAGGAAACTTCCTGATCTCACTGCACACTCTGTGGTCTTTCACAGAAAGCTGCATTTACTCTGAAATTAAGCTGCACACTGGTGGATCAATTACGAATGAAGTGCTGTCTAAATACTGATGGTTTGAAAGATGTTTCTTAAGGAAAATTAGAGGCAGGGTGACTGAATACAAAATCATGTCACATTTTTCAGATTAATACTTGCAGAAAATTTTGAAAACAATTTAATTTTCCTTTCCACTACTTAATAATGGACTGATTTGTGTTGCTCTATCAGATAAAATACATTTAGGATTAATAGTCTAGTGATAGATAGTGTCTGAGATACTGTACATGTTTGGGTAACCAGCCTGTACTCAGCTTGTCATCTGTACTTTAATATTTAACGTTGTTTGGCTTTTAGTTCATTCAGTTATGAAAAAAAGTTGATCCGCCTTCTTCATGCAGATGAATATTTGGGGCAGGATTATGCTTGGAGAAAGCTTTCTCTGGCATTTCATTAATACGATTATGAGAAAGTTAGACAATACAACGTATATGAAGTATTGAATCTTTTAAACCTCAGGATACCTTAATAGGTACAGAGAGCCCATGCTGAGCTGTTTTGGAAAAGAATTGAAGTAACGAATTTTAATAGATATCAGACTCGATTTGCTTACCTTTTGGTTGGAGTGGGTGCCCCAGAGGACATGAGCATTGTGTTGTTCATATTGTTGGTCGCTGGATTTGGCTGACTAAAACAAGACAAGGTTAAAAGGTTCTTAATGGTATACTGCAAGGTCTGTGGTGCTTGACACAGGGAATGGAAGGGAAGACAATTTGCATTTTTATTATTAATCATAAATCAGCTCTTCCAACTCCAATTGTATCTAAGAAGGTAGGAGGGGCAGGAAGAGATTTATGAATGCATACAAAAAAAATGGAGCGTGTTGTAACTTCTGTGATATAGTCAACTTTACTGCAAACAGCTTTCAAAGGTTTGCAGCAAATTATCACAAACCTAATTAAAAGGTGCAAGTGAAACAATAGCTAAGAACAACTATAATTAAACCTTGAGCTTATAAAAATAAAAGCAAGGCAAGGTGACATTCTGGGATGTAATTTGGGAGAGTCAACAAAGCAATACGACCCATATGGTGTCTGGATGGCGAGACTCATCAGGACCGAAGCCCTCACACCACAGAGTCTCATTACGGATCAAAACATTCCCCAGAAAACAGCAGCCGCTCACAAAGACTCATCTCTGTACTTGAATCCACTGAATCTGAATCTTGCACTTCTCTGTAGTTATCAGCCTTGATCCTATTTTGTTTTCTCTTGTTATAACATAGAGGACAAAGCGCTGTGGAGCAGTTTGCCCAGATTAGTTAGTTAGATGAGACTACTGTTGTCCACAGAATACTGTTATTATTAATAGCAAACAATTTTGCATTGATGTAATTATAAAAAAAAAAACCTTAATAAAAAGCTTTTTCCTTTAAATTAACAACTATAATATCTGCGCATAAATACCCCGAGAGGTTTTATACTCTTTTTTTCAAAACTTGCTAACATTAAATAAGATTATGCATTTACCTCCCAGCAGAATTATTTGCAAAAAGCAGATCTAAGTCATCTGCTAAAACCATTTGCTACAACTTTTTATTATTTTCTCATTAGGAGAGCAAAAGAAAAAGTATTAGTTCTAAAGATTTCCATCTATGTCCTCCTTAATATGCAACATGCATCAAATTCCTGTGAAAAAGGTTTATTTGTCATCTCACTGCCAGACTTTCTTTATGATGAGCTGGAGGTAGAGGACAAGGTATAGGAGGTGAGACTTACCCCTGTGAGAAGACAGAGCACCTGCCTCGGTAGCAAAACACATCCAACCGCTGCTGCTGCTGCCAGATGCCTAATCTGTCCTCAACTGAGCAGGCGAGCATCTCAATGTACTACACTGCTGCTGTCTCCAAGGAAACTCGGCAGTCACATGACTTTATGACGACGTAGATTTTCTGTCTCACTCATGCTCCTTTTTCCCCTCTCAGGCTCTGTTTCCGACTCTGTCTTTTCACCTCACCACATCCAAAGGGAAAGGAGGGTGCTATTTGCTCACAAAACAGTCCAAAATGTCCAAGTAACATTTTTCTAATTTAAAAATGGGTAATAAATGTTAATCAGTGGTTGGGGCTATATTTGCATTTACATATCTTAACTCCTCCCTTTTACCTTCAGCGAGTTACGTAAATCAAAGCTCCTCAGCTCAAGCCTTCTAAAAATAATCTTCAGTCTTTTTTTATTCTATTAATGCAACTCATATGTAACAGCAGTGCCCAATAAAAAAGGGGTTATGTTTGCACTTGTTTCTAAATTACGAACAATTTCATACGTGCCCCATTTCACCTGGATGGGAGCCTGCAGGTCTGTTGTATAAAGCCAATTCAGGACATCCAGTCCAGACATTTATTCAGTGTCTCAGAGGTCAACAATCAGGCACTAAAGGATCAAAGCCTGCAATGTGCTTCTCATGAATGACAATTTGATACTTATTTTTCGCAGCATAGCGGGAGACGGTAAATTAGAGGAATAGGTCAGAATATTTTAGCTATGACTGTGAAAAGGTTAGAAGCTGTTAGTATCTTCTCTGCAGTGGAGAACTTTCTTTGAGTGTTTCTGCAGTTGTTTCGTTTTAGTTTTAAAGATTAGGGTCTTGGCCTAAAACTTTATTGTTTATGTTCTCTATTTGCTGCTTTATTAGTTTATTTCTTTGGGTTTAGTTTGTTACTTATTCATATATTCTGTTCATGCTGCGTTTCTAGTTCTGTTTCATCTGGAGGTAATTTTTCCTTTAGTAAGAACATGTCTCTGTATGCTTGTTCAGTTCCATTCATGTTTTAGTGCCCTCTCTCAGCCTCTGCAATTATGGAACCAACATCATTAAGTCCACCTGTGTTATGCCAATTAACTTCCCTGTTTACACCTGTCTCTTAAACTATCCATACTGTTCAGCTCTCTTTGTTCCTCGCTGGTTTTTACAGGTTTTTCATGTTTCATGCCCTTGTCCATGCCTGTTTTCCACCTGTAATCTATGCCTCATTCACCTCAAGCCTGCTTGTAAGTTTTTGTTGTTTTTGTTATGATGCGTTTTCCATTCCCTGTTGTTTCTTTCTCCTGCCTGCCCATGTGCATTGGGGTCCACTCCAAGAAACAACCAGACAGTGGGTGGAGTATTAAATCTATTTTTGGAAGCAGACACAGAAAACTCAGAATCAACGAATGTCAAAACTCTGTCATCGTAGAGGACGAACTCAGTGCCATGCACCTGTTTTCACTCACTGGAAAAAATCGAAATCTAGATGAGTAATTATTTGTTAAATTAAGTGCATTTGTTCCTTGATAGAGGAGGTAAAACTGACATTTTGCCAATGGAACAAGACAATTTACACCTAAAATTAGAAAACACAATTGCGTTGTCTTATTTAAAGTTCATATTATCTAACTATCTTATTTTAAGAGAAAAAAAAACTCATTCCATTGGCAAACTATCTCATTTACCGACTCAAATTAAGGGTATATATACTTAATTTAAGGAACTCTTTATTTATTTCGAGATTGTTTTTCCAGCTGTTTTCTGTATTTTTGGCCTTGTAAAAAGATTTAGGGCTTCCAAAGCAGTGGCGGTATTGACAGGATGCTTTTGGATCAAGAAGAAACACCAAAGAACAAGCATTATTAAACATGTTTTTATACAGTGAAAGAAATGATTGTAAATAGATTTATTGAATAAAGCACCAACAGATATGAGAGAGATAGGCAGATATTCCTGCTTGCTTTGTCAGCGGTAAAGCAAGCAGGTAAGCAGCACTACAGCTCACAGACTGTTCTCTATTTTTGCTCTTTTCCTGATCTCCCTCCCATATTTTTCATCCAGCTTTTGCACTCTATAATAGATTGGTTGGAAAAATAACTAATATAGTTGGTTAAACCAATTATGGTTAGATTAACATATCATCATGTCTAAAATGTGACTAATAATAGTTTTCTTCTTGAGGACTAAGAGTAAGACTAAATCTAAGATGGCTGTCAAAGACCACACTGCATGCAAGCACACGACTCAGCGTCAAGTTTGGAGTATCAAATTTCAAGCTGATGATAAGCAACCACGTATGGACATACAGCAGATAGCTCACAACATAATATGCCATTACAGTAAAGCATTTCCTGTAAAATCTAAAATAGCCAGCATATAAAAAAATAAAATAAAAAAACAGTATGACAACTTACAAGATTCTAATTTATTTTTTTACACTTGTGAAAAGATTGTCTCACATACAAGATGTTTGCTTCTCTACACAAAGACTGAACCAGACAGGGAGATGCCAAAACGTCACATATTTTCAGGGAAATTCTGAAGTTTGTAAAGAACCACTTCAGTAAAAATACACGACAAAAAAATTGAAAAAAGGGATATTTTTCTTTAATTGAGGAGGTAAGTGAGACACTCTGCCATTGGGACAAGACAAATTATATTTAAAATAATAAAAAGCCAAACGACCCCCATTCAAATGGTGTATTTGTTTTTGTTTCAAAACAAAAACAAGGCTTTGATGCTCTACAGTACAAAACCTCAAACTATTCCTGACATTTTGAAAAAGCTTCCTGGATGGGAATCAAAACGTCTTCCAATGTTTTTATTTTTTATTTTTTGGAATACTATCTGATTATCTCATTTTAAGAGTACATATACTCATCTTATTTACCTACTAAAATTTAGAAAATAGACTTAATTTAAGAATTGTTGAATAATTTTTTGATTGTTTTTTTAAGTGTATGAGTGTATTTCTGTGACAGTTGTATTATGGTACACTGCAAAAACTATCTAGAAATAAGTACAAATTTCTTAAATTAAGTGTTTTTTGCCTTAATTTGAGTATGTAAAAAAAGATGATTTGCCAATGAAATGAGAATTTTACTCTTAAAATAAGATAATTAAATAATATGTACATAAATATAATTTTTCTCTGATTTTGAATATAGATTTTCTTGTTCCATTGGCAAACTGTGTCTCACTTTCCTTCTAAATTCTAGACCAAAAATAACTTATTTTAGGAAAAGAGGACATATTTAGATTTCAATCTTTTGCAGTGTAGGAAACTTCTTTTCAAGTACAAAGAATGCAGCTATGTCTTCAGAATAGAAATTCAAGACTAGGCACAATCAGTCTGCATTCAAATGGTCATGGAGTTTTCAGGTACTTGTTTGAACAAAATACAAAACATTACAGTGGTTCAAATAAAAAGTTCTTTGTATATTTTACATTCTTATGTGTTTCACACAGATCATTTGTGGCTCATTGCCAACTTTATAATAATTGGTGTCTTTGTGAATAATTGTGCAATGCAAATGTGACAGTTTTAGTAGTTCTTAAAAGAGATTACTTTGTGTTTCAAGTTTTATCAAGGTGATAGACACCTTAAAAAAAAACTATTTGTTCTTGGTATTAACCTGCAGAACTTTAGGAACCACCATCCTAAAAACCAATCCTGAAAATCTGAGGATGACCAATCCCATACTGTACCTCATATCTTCACTTTTATAAGATCAATCTAATGCGGAAGCAAGTATTTCAAAAGTTTTTATGCATTTCTAAACAATTCATAGTGAAACAAAATTTATTTCAGGAACTTTAAAGTTAAAGTAAAGACAATGAAGTCCCTCTTGGCAGAAGCAGAGCTTATCTATGGGTAAGAGA